CCTGCTGGGCTCTGGCGATCCTTCAGCCTCAGCCTTCCAAGTAGCTGGAACTATAGGCGCACGCTACCATGCCTGGCTAGTTTTTGATTTATTTTATTTTATTTTTTTTGAGTTGAAATCTCACTCTGTTTCCCAGACTGGAGTGCAGTGGCCGCTCCCGCCCACCTCAGCCTCGACCTGCTGGGCTCTGGCGATCCTTCCGCCTCAGCCTTCCAAGTAGCCGGAACTACAGGCATGCACTACCACGCCCGGCCGATTTTTTGATTTATTGTAGAGATGAAGTCTTGCTGCCCAGGCGGGTCTCGAACCCGCGGGCTCAGGCAATCCACTCACCTCAGTCTCCTAAAGGCGTGGGATTATAGGCTGAGCCACCGACCCGGCTTTGATTTATTTTAGAGATGCCCAGGTGGGTCTCGAACCCGCGGGCTCAGGCAATCCTCTTGCCTCAGCCTCCCAAAGAGCTGGAATTACAGACTGAGCCACCGAGCCCGGCCAGTTGGGCATATTTCTAAGAACCTTGTTTGCAGGATTGAAAAGTCAAGTGGGAAAGAGGTATAGAATAAAGAGACTTCACTGATTATGTCTTCTATATACAGAAGCTACGATAGCCGAAACAAGCATGAGATCATTCGCTGCTTGAAAGCTTTTATGAACAACAAGGTGAGATTTTTCTCATTCTCATTCCAACTCCCATCTGGACCCCTGTTCTTCTCTTGGTGAATCCTAAAAATGAACTAGGAATGTGAGGTTCAAGGATTTTTTACTTCCCTTTTATTTTCTTTTGAAGCCAGGATTTATTGAGAGGAAATGCTCCCACAGCAGGAAAGGACCTGAAGTGGTTGCCCCCCTTTTATTTTCATAACAGTTTTTTGTTTTTATTTTTTTTGAGTTGGAGGCTCACTCTGTTGTCCAGGCTGGAGTGCAGTGGTACACTCATAGCTATCGCAGCCTCAACCTGCTGGGTTCAGGCAGTCCTTCCATGTAACTGGAACTACAGGTATGCATCACCACACCCAGCTAATTTTTTGATTTATTGTAGAGACGAGGTCTTACCAAGTTGCCCAGGCTGGTCTTAAACCCCTGGGTTCAGGCATCCCTCCTTCCTCCACCTCCCAAAATACTGGGATTGCAGGCATGAGCCACCACACCCGGCTCATAACTGCTTTTTCGTTGCCATATATACATGCTTCTACGGATGTATTTTCCCAGTTCTAACTTCTGTTTCAGAGGGTAGGCCCAATTTTCCTCCTCTTTCTTCACTTTTTTCCCCCTAATTCTTATATTTCCTGACTTGTAGTTATTGTTTTTGGAAAATTTGCTTTATTCTCTTCTTTTTGTTTGTAATAGTTTTTTGTTTGTTTGTTTTTTGTTTTGAGTTAGAGTCTCACTCTGTTGCCCAGACTGGAGTGCAGTGGCTGCTCCCGGCCACCGTAGCCTCGACTTGCTGGGCTCCGGCAATCCTTCCACCTCAGCCTTCCGAGTAGCCACAATTACAGGCGGCGCACTACCACGCTCAGCTGATTTTTTGATTTTATTGTAGAGATGAGGTCTCGCCTGCCCAGGCGGGTCTCGAACCCACAGGCTCAGACAATCTACTCACCTCAGCCTCCCAAAGGTGTGGGATTACAGGCTGAGCCACCGAACCCGGCTTTGCTTATAATAGTTTTTTTCCATCTAGACTGTTCCTAATTTATAATTTTTTCTTTTTTTTGTCTGTTTAGTAGTTAAATCCATGGAGACCACAGTTATTTGCCTCTGAGTACAAATCATTCTTCTTCACTGTTTAATTTTGTTATAATTAACTTATTCGATTGGATTGGAAGGGTATTAAAAAGAAACATAAAAATCAAAGACTTTTATTCTTGCAAGACATGAAATTCTGTTGTGTCTCCTAGCAGATTATTTTGTTATATTCATCTATACTTAATTATATTGGGAAAAGTTATTTAACCCCTGTCTAGTATACCACAAATTGGGTTTTCTAGTGTACCACAAATTGGGTTTCTTTAACAACATAAATTTATTATCTCACAGTTCTAGGGGCTAGAAGTCAAAAATCAAGGTGTTAGCAGCATTGGCTCCTTCTGAAGGCTGTGTGGGATAATATGTTTTGTGCTGTCTCCTCGCTTCTGGTGTTCTGCTGGCAATCTTTGGCATTCCTTAGCTTGTAGATGCATCAACCTGATCTCTTGTGTATGTTCACTTGGTGTTCTTACTGTTTTCGTATCTGAATCAAAATTTCCTCTTTTTATAAGGATACATTTTGAGGTATTTGGGATTAGGACTTCAACATACGAATTTGAGGGGTCACCCTTCAACCCGTAATAACCCTCAAACTTGTCCCCAGTTGTATGGTATCATCTTTAAGCCTTCTTTCTCTGTTCTTGTCCTACCAGTTTGGAATCAAGACCATGTTGGAGACAGAAGAAGGAATCCTACTACTGGTCAGAGCTATGGATCCTGCTGTTCCCAGCATGATGATTGATGCAGCTAAGCTGCTTTCTGCTCTTTGTATTCTACCACAGCCAGAAGACATGTATGTGACTGAAATTCTTTCTCTTCACCATTCTCAATTTTACCATTTTCTCTTAGTCTAAAGGAAAATTGAGTTGCTTGGGTGTCCTCTTGACCTTAAGTAATAGGTATGATTGTATTTCTTCGCAGAAGTGAATACTGGAGAATTTTACTATTAAAGAATGATTCCTACGTGATAGGCACCATCCTGAGTGTTCTATTTGTTATCAGAGGCACAGCAGGATATCTACAGCTCCATTAATGTCTGCATGGTCTAGAACAAGAGTTTCTTCTTACTGTTTTGTCTTGTTTTTAAATTCATAAGAGACATAACATTGTTTTAAGAATTCAGACATTATAGAAGTATATACAATAAAATTCAACAGCCTCATCATCCCTTTGCCAAATCCTGTTTTGCAGAGATAATCAGTTAATGGCTTAGTATAGTCTCATAGATTTAAACACAAAGAAACATACTGCATTTTCCTGATTCTGTTTTTTTTGTTTTTTGTTTTGAGTTGGAGTCTCACTCTGTCACCCCGGCTGGAGGATGGTGGCACGTTCCTGGCCACTGCAGCCTTGACCTGCCGGGTTCAGGCGATCCTTCAGCCGCAGCCTTCCAAGTAGCTGGAACTACAGGCACGCGCCACCATGCCCGGCTAATTTTGTGACTTATTGTAGAGATGAGGTCTCCCCGAGTCGCGTAGGCTGGTCTCAAACCCGCGGGCTCAGGCAATCCTCTCACCTAGGCCTCCCAAAGTGCTGGGCCTGCATTTCCCTGATTCTAAGACATCTTCTGCCACTCAGCAGATAGAATCTTAGAGTTGAGAAATAAAACTTATGCCTATAAAACCAATTGCATATATAGGATAGATTTTTATTTGACAGTAGATCTTGGACATCCTTCTTTGTCGGTACTTATAGTTCTCCCTTATTAGCTTTAGTCACTGTTTACTATTCCATATGTATGTATGTATGTTCCATAATTTATTTAAGGGTTCTCCCATTGCTAGGTAAATTTTTTTTTTTTCAGTTGGAGTCTCACTGCAATAGCACTCTCACGGTCATCCCAGCGTCTACCTGCTAGGCTCAGGTGATCCTTCTGCCTCAGCCTTTCAAGTAGAGAGAGCTACAGGTGTGTGCTACCACACCTGGCTAATTTTTTTTTAATTGTAGAGATGAGGTCTCACCAAGTTGCTCAGGCTGGTCTTGAACCTATGGGCTCAGGCAGTCCTCTTGTATCGGCCATGCTGGTATTATAGGCTTGAGCCACTGCGCTTCGCCCCCGCCCCCTTTAAAAAAAAAAGTAGATTTCTTCCCCTGTTCTAGGGGATAAGAATAATTTTTATGGCCAGGTGCAGTGACTCACACTTATAATCCCAGCACTTTGGGAGGCAGAGGTGAGAGGATTGCCTGAGTCCAGGGTTTTGAGGTGAGACTGGGCAACTTGGTGAGACTTCCTCTCTACAATAAATAAAAATTAGCCGGGCATGGTGGTGCATGCCTGTGGCTCCAGCTTACTTGGGAGGCTGAGATGGAAGAATCACCTGAGCCCAGCAGGTTGAGGCTGTGGTTGCAATGAGTGTGCCACTGCAGTCCAGCCTGAGCAACAGAGTGAGACTCCAACTCAAAAAAAAAAAAAAAAAAAAAAAAGAATAATTTTTACTATGACAAATGATACTATAATGAACATCCTTATACATATACTTTTTCATGTTTATGCTTATATGTTGGATATATTTCTAAAAGCAGGCCATATGTTTCATGCATAAGAAATTGATTAGTGCTATTATTATTATTATTACTATTTTTTGAGTTGGAGTCTCACTCTGTTGCCCAGACTGGAGTGCAGTGGCCGCTTCCGGCCACCGCAGCCTTGACCTGCTGGCCTCCGGTGATCCTTCCGCCTCAGCTTTCCGAGTAGCCGGAATTACAGGCACGCGCTACCACGCCCAGCTGATTTGTTGATTTATTGTAGAGATGAGGTCTTGCTGCCCAGGCGGGTCTCGAACCCACGGGCTCAGGCAATACACTCACCTCAGCCTCCCAAAGGCGCGGGATTACAGGTTGAGCCACCGAGCCCGGCTGATTAGTGCTGTTATATGTCTCTCCAAAAGTTGTACCGATTTATGCTTCATGAAACAGGGGTCTTAGATTTAGTATTCATGATAGGAGCCTAGGGATGAATTTTGGGGATGCAGTTCTCTGAAGAGATGATCCTTAGCTTTCAGCAGATTCTGGCTTCTACTCTAGGGGTGCTGAGAAGAATAATTGAGCCATCTAGAGAACTGATGATGTCCTATTTCTAACCAACCTGTGCCCCTGTGGTAATCTCCCTGTTAGACATATTTGTGTTAGAGCACCTGGACAGTTCTTTCCCTTTTCTTTCTCTTGGGCAGGAATGAAAGGGTTTTGGAGGCAATGACAGAAAGAGCTGAGATGGATGAGATGGAACGTTTCCAACCACTGCTGGATGGATTAAAAAGTGGGACCTCCATTGCACTCAAGGCATGTATATCCCCTGAAACTGGGCCCAGGAATAGAGTTCAAGATGGAAAAATTTAAGTTCACTTGACCTTTTAATAAAACATGTGGACTGGCTCTCAACTATAAATTTTATATTTCAGCATATGCTCTGAGGGGAAAATGATTAAACCTTCTAAGAAAGCAATGAAAGAACTGTTTAACTCATTATGAGATGGAAAAAAGCCAAGATATCTATTTACAAACTGGGAAAACCCAGGCTTATAATAATATATACTGTCAAATTCTTGAATCATTTAGCGTTTTGAGCTCTCCAGACCTGTGCTCAAACCAAGTCTCATTACTCTAGTACAGAAGTCACTTTTAGAGCCTTTGTAATATCTTCCAGATTACATTTAGGGATCTCAGAATACATGTAAAGAAATAGATTCTTTATTTCCAGGAGTCAGCATTGATATAACTGCTGAATTTGTTATTTTAGGTGGGATGCCTACAGCTGATCAATGCTCTCATCACACCAGCTGAAGAACTTGACTTCCGAGTTCACATCCGAAGTGAACTGATGCGCTTGGGACTACATCAGGTGTTACAGGTATGCTATTACATTTCATTAGAAAGGTTGGGCTGATTCCTTCCTGCTTTTACAGCCCCAGTCATCCCTGTGAGAACTCTGGTTTTCAACTTAAAAGTCAAGTTGAAAGGCTTGGGTTTCTAGTCATGTAGGATACTTTTGGTTTCCCTAACTTCTGCTTTTGTCTACTTTGACTCTGCAGGACCTTCGAGAGATTGAAAATGATGATATGAGAGTACAACTAAATGTGTTTGATGAACAAGGGGAGGAGGATTCCTATGACCTGAAGGGACGACTGGATGACATTCGCATGGAGATGGAATATCCTTTTACTGACTGGGCTCATTTCAGTTGAGACATTTATTGCATTCAGTCACAGATCCCTTTATGGAATGGTTTGGAGGTGGTGAATCAAAAACAGGGCATTAGGCTTATGTATCTTCTTAGTAAATAAGGCAGGTGTCTTTTTCTTGCTGCTAGCTTTATTTAACTCAGCGTGGACCAGGAAAGTAAGGGTGATCTGAGGGTTGTTCAGCATGGAAGCAGCCATCAAAATTAGTGTAAGCTTCCTAGAACATGATAGTTTAGATTACTGAGATGGAGAGCTGGTTTTTAGAGATTTTGGACTGTCAGAGGTAGTAATTTGGTTACCTGTTAATATTTGCCACAAGTGACTTTGAGGCAGTTATCTTTTAGTTTCTATCTACTGTCTGATTTTCTTTCTTTCTTTTTTTTGAGTCAGAGTCTCGCTCTGTCACCTAGGCTAGAGCACAATGGCATGCTCACAGCCACCGCATCCTCAACCTGCTGGGCTCACGTGATCCTTCCACCTCAACCTTCTAAGTAGCTGGAACTATAGGTGCATACCACCCCATCCAGCTAGTTTATTTATTATAGAGACAAGTTCTCACCAAGTTGCCCAAGCTGGTCTTGAACCCCTGGACTCAGGCAGTCCTCTCACCTCCGCCTCCCAAAGTGCTGGGATTATAGGCATGAGGCACCGTGCCTGGCTTAACTGCCTGATTTTCAAGCCAAGTACTAGGAATCTTCTGTTGCTGGGTATAGTACCACCCAACTTACTGGTCCTTTAACTAAAATACATTTTATAGAGCTTAAAGTTTCTGGTGATGTTTATAGGAGGACTAACTATTAGAGTGGAAGTGGCATCTTGCTACTTTTCCCTCCCTAGCTTTTCCAAGAATTGAGCAAGCCTCCTGTCAAACGTAATTTGTGCATATTTGTTTTCCTTAGCCTAGTCCCCTTTTCCACTGACTTTAGTGAAGTCTTTCAGATTCTCTTAAACACAGTGAAGGATTCAAAGGCAGAGCCACACTTCTTGTCCATCCTGCAGCACCTACTGTTGGTCCGAAATGACTATGAGGCCAGGTAAGATGGTTTCCCTGTGGGAAGTTTTGAATTTGAGCCTAAGTGGAGAGATCAAAACCCTTAAATTTAAAGATTGTACTGTAAGGGGAAAAAGAAAAGGCAAAGACCCAGGATTGGATTCATTAGTCACAGATAAAGGAAGTTGTCGGTTGTTTCTTTAATCTAAGTGCAAGGCATTCAGAGTTTGTAAAATGCAATGCCTTTCCACTTTTGGAGGAGAGTGGGTAGGTACGACGAAGATGATAGCAAAGGGAGGTGGCAGTTTAAAATTCTTTCTGATTGCCTGGAAGTAGCAATATAGCAATAGCACTATCTATCGGAGGAAGGGGCAATCTGAATTTTTAAATGGAAAACTGTTGGCGGTAGGAGGCAGATGGGAAGAAGTTTGGGTTATCTGAAGTAGATAGGGTAGCTTATGTGGAAAAAGGAGATTTTTTTTAGCATGGCAGTGATAACTTATGTTAACTTTATGAATAGTTTTGTCCAGATAACTTATCCTCAGTTCTCGTAAGTTATCAAAGCAGGTAACTTTTCTTGGTTCTGAATACTTCTTCAAGTTTTATTTTGATTTTCCTTTGATAACCCTCTCTTGTTTTCTTATAGACCACAATACTATAAGTTGATTGAAGAATGTATTTCCCAGATAATTCTGCACAAGAATGGGGCTGATCCTGACTTCAAGTGCCGGCACCTCCAGATTGATATTGAGGGATTGATTGGTAAGCATATTCTTCTATCTGGTTTCTCAAAACAGTGCTTCTTCCTTCCATTTTACATCTTTCAGTAAAAATTTCAGAGACGGTATCTTCCCATTGTCCAGGTATTTCCATTTTTGTCGTTTCTTAGGTCATAACCAACATCTTTGTTAGGAATATACAGGCCTTTGGTTTATGTTTACATAAATCAAAAACTTTACCTCTTCTCATACACCAATACCTTTTCCTGGTCTCAGAGAGTCAAGAGTATTATTCCTAATCCTTCTTCGTGTCACCCAGCTTGGTTGTCTTACCATGTACTCAGAAATTATATGTTGAACTTCATGGAAAATTTCATTTCTTTGTTTAGTGCAGAACATTAAGGATAATGAAAGTAACCAAAAGGACAGAAGGCTTCCTTGGAAGGGCTTAGATATGAAAGCGGTAGAATAAGAGAATTGACAGTATTACTTACTGATGCTGCTCCTTTACAGATCAAATGATTGATAAAACAAAAGTGGAGAAATCTGAAGCCAGAGCTACAGAGCTGGAAAAAAAGGTGTGTATGAGGGATCAAAAATCTTTTAGGATATATGTCTTTGTCTGAGGGTTACTATTTTTCTGACCTGTGAGACAGTTTTTGTCCATAGTAGTTTGAAAGCATACGGCACCTAATGGTGTAGTTCCTAGGGTAAGTAGTTTCCAGTATAGATTAGTCACTGGAGAACATGATGGGGAGGTGATTATGAGGAGCTAATGGTGGGCTTACACAGTCCTTGGGCTGCTGGACAGTACAAGAAAGACAGATGATACTTTTATATCATAATGATGGCACTCTCAAGTTTGCTTGGCATTTTAGGCCTCTTATCCCTAGAACTATAGGAGCTAGAGTATGTCTGAATTCTGTTTTTCTCTTCAGTTGTTAAGGACTCATATTGTGACTAATAGGTTTTTTATCCTAGAAACCACTGGGATTGTACTACTATGGCTGTCTTGGTTAAATATCTTTAAAATCTTAGTTAAAAGAAAAAAACTATAAAAATAGGAAGACTGAAATGAACTCGGATTCCTGTTTTCTTTAACCTTGATTTTAAGGTCAAAAACATGGTGCTTTTGTCCCCCCCAGACATTGCCTGAGATATGGGTCAGTGAGCACGATAGATTGGCACAAAACAATAAATTATGGGGAATAACACTTATGCTTCTTACTGAGATGAAGAGATTGCTGGGAGCCTGATTTTTTTTTCTTCTTTAGCTGGACTCAGAGTTAACAGCCCGACATGAGCTACAGGTGGAAATGAAAAAGATGGAAAGTGACTTTGAGCAGAAGCTTCAGGATCTTCAGGGAGAAAAAGATGCATTGGATTCTGAAAAGCAACAGATTGCCACAGAGAAACAGGATCTGAAAGTGGAGGTGTCCCAGCTCACAGGAGAGGTAACATCTAAGCAGGGAAAACAGAGTGACCCATAATCTCAGGAGGTAAATGTCTTGGAACAGGAGTTGGTTGTCTCACTTCTAGGGAGGGCTCAGCTACTAATATGTAATCTAGTTAAATGGTGCATGTTTTAAAATCATATACTATCTTTTGTTTTGGAGGTAATACATAAGTCAGAAAATTTGGAAAATGCAGAAAAACATTAAAAATAAGCTAAGTTATTCACAGTACTACCCCAAAATAAAGGTAATAAGTCTTCTAATAAATTTAGAAATAAAAACTGGGCTGGGCTGGATGGCTTAGCCTATAATCCCAGCACTTTGGGAGGCTGAGGCGAGTGGATTGCCCAAGTCCGCGGATTTAAGACCCACCTGGGCAACTTGGCGAGTCCTGTCTCTACAATTAATCAAAAATTGGCCGGGCATGGTAGCGCATGCTGTAGTTTCAGCTACTTGGAAGACTGAGGCAGAAGGATTACCGGAGCCCAGCAGATTGAGGCTGAGGTGGCCGGGAGTGTGCCACTGCACTCCAGGTCTGGGCTACAGTGTGAGACTCCAATTCAAAAAAATAAAAAGTAGCCGGGCTCGGTGGCTCAGCCTGTAATCCCGCGCCTTTGGGAGGCTGAGGTGAGTGGATTGCCTGAGCCCATGGGTTTGAGACCCGCCTGGGCAACTTGGCGAGAACTCATCTCTGCAATAAATCAAAAAACTAGCTGGGTGTGGTAGCGCGTGCCTGTAATTCTGGCTACTCAGAAGGCTGAGGCGGAAGGATCGCCGGATTCCAGCGGGTCGAGGCTGCGGTGGCCAGGAGCGGCCACTGCACTCCAGTCTGAGCGACAGAGTGAGACTCTAACTCAAAAAAAAAAAAATAATAATAATAATTAAATAAAACTGAACTGTTTTCATATTGACTAATTTATTGTTATTTTAGTTATCTCTGCACCGATTTATCCTTACTCTCTGAAGTAATAAATATTAAATGATCTGTGATATCTGATAACTTGATCATTTATATGGTTATATAACTACCTGTGTAGTACATGCGATAGTTATGTAACTGGAACATTTTATTTTCTTTACCTTTACATATCAAAAGGAGAGTTTGACAGAAAGGTTGGAGTTGTTTTGATACAAAGCTTGCAGAACTAAGAATATGAAGATCTGAATTCTAGTTTGGCTTTGCCGCTAAATAGCAGTGTGACTTTAAATGAATCATGTGATTTGTCTGACTCCTCTCCACGTGTAAAATGAGAAGTTTGGATTAAGTAGTTTCTTCAAGTAGTTTCCCTCCAGCCTTAGTTGTCCCTGAAGTCAAGTGAGAAGTACTCACACTGATGTTGTTTCTGTAGGTTGCCAAGCTGTCAAAGGAACTGGAAGATGCCAAGAAAAAGATGGCTTCCCTCTCTGCAGCAGTTGTTGCTGTAGCCCCTGTTTCTAGTAGTGCTACTGTTCCCCCTGCCCCTCCCTTACCTGGTGACTCTGGCACTGTCATTCCATCACCACCTCCCCCTCTTTTACCAGGGGAGGGTAGCATACCACCCCCACCTCCTCCTCCACCACCTCCCCCTCCTTTGCTTGGAGCTACTGCCATTCCTCCACCCCCTCCTTTACCTGGGAGTGCTGCTATTCCCCCTCCTCCCCCTTTGCTTGTGGGTGGTATTCCTCCACCACCTCCTTTGTCTGGAGGTATTGCCATCCCCCCACCACCTCCTTTGCCTGGAAGTATTGCTGTCCCCCCACCACCTCCTTTGCCTGGAAGTATTGCTGTCCCCCCACCACCTCCTTTGCCTGGAAATATTGCTGTCCCCCCCCCACCTCCTTTGCCTGGGGATGCTGGAATCCCCCCACCCCCCCCTCCTTTGCCTGGAGGGCCAGGAATGCCCCCTCCCCCTCTTCTTGGTGGTCCTGGAATCCCTCCACCCCCTCCATTTCCTGGAGGCCCTGGCATTCCTCCACCTCCACCTGGAATGGGTATGCCTCCACCTCCCCCCTTTGGATTTGGAGTTCCTGCAGCCCCAGTTCTGCCATTTGGGTTAACCCCCAAAAAACTTTATAAGCCAGAAGTACAGCTCCGGAGGCCAAATTGGTCCAAGGTAAGAGTTTCTTTTTCTTCATCAGATCTTAAGAAGCCACTTAAGTTTCCTACTCTGTATTTTGTGCATTGGTGTACTTCCCTTCCTAATAGCTTAAGTTTTTCAATCTTTAAGTTTCATTCATACTTATTTTTAATCAGCAGATATTAGGCACCTTCTGTATGCCAGATGTCACCATGTAGAGCCCTGTGAACCCCGTACTCTGAACTTAATCTTTTTTTTTTTTGAGTTGAAGTCTCACTCCATTGCTCAGACTGGTGTGCAGTGGCACGCTCCTGGCCACCACAGCCTCGACCTGCTGGACACTGGCAATCCTTCCACCTCAGCCTTCCAAGTAACTGGAAATACAGGCGCGTGCTACCATGCCCAGCCAATTTTTGATTTATTGTAGAGATGAGGTCTCGCCAAGTTGCCCCGGGCGGGTCTCAAACCCGCGGGCTCAGGCAATCCACTCACCTCAGCCTCCCAAAGTGCTGGGATTACAGGCTGAGCCACCGAGCTCATCCTGAACGTAATCATAACTGAACTTATACTTAAGGGTTTTTTGCATTTTCTCTGAGGATATGAGTACCATGGTAACACAGAGTTTGATAATAGGCATATCACCAGTCTGCAAACTACTGATAAATATGCTGATTCAAAAGTCATTGATTTATGAATACACTCTCCTACCCTCATTTCCCCGGATGTAAGTTACACAGACCATGTTTGCAAGGCACGGGTATTGTTCCCATGATGTGTTTGAGATGCCTGTGATTCTGAATTAGCCTTTTACTTCCAAAAACCAAGTTGAAATAAAGGAGCTCAAGGATTTGTTCATAAAATGAGCAAGTTTGACACAGTTAGCCAGAGGATGAGAAAAATATAATGTAGAACAAGAGAAGATGTGAAATACATTAAGCCATACTTCTGGAGCTTTAGAGTTAGAGGAGGGTAAGTAGCACAGCTGAATCTAGTTCTTGAAAAATCACCAATAAACAAATAAACGGGAAGTACCATCTCCTAATCCTACTCCAGCTGATTTCTGTCTCAGGTTAGTCTTGCTCTAGTAAGAAATTGCTGACAACGAACCAGCTACCTCTTGCATCATCATCAGTTTTCTAGGATGGAAAACATAGGACCCTGCTTTGTAATTCTTAACACCCTACCTTTATTTACAGTTTGTTGCTGAGGACCTTTCCCAGGACTGCTTCTGGACAAAAGTGAAGGAAGACCGCTTTGAGAACAATGACCTTTTCACCAAACTTAACCTTACCTTCTCTGCCCAGACCAAGAGTGAGTATCTTCCTTCTTAATGCAAAGGTATAGTGTAGGGCTTTAAATAGCCTTCCCATTCCCTTTTTTTCCCTGTGTGAGGGTGGAAAGGGAATGTTGGGTGGAAGAGAGATGAATTTTCCCATTCAGAAGAGGAAAATATGCTTTTGTATTATGGAGTTGCAGAGTTGGGAAAGGGAACTGTTGTTTGTAAGTATTTTGTGTTAGTATAAATTGTGGGATATGAGATTAAAGCGATAAGCTCAGTTTGGGCCAATTTTGATGGTGCTCTTCAACAAATTTTGGCACTGCCTTAAGGTACCATCTGCAGACCTGAGGACTTAAGATTTGGGTAGAGTCTTTAAAAGGTCTGTCTTCAGAAACAAAGAACCATGTGTGATTCCTTTTCTTTCTTCCATTTTTTTCCAATGTCTGATGCTTTCTCCCTCTTGGCTGTTTGCTCCTGCAGCTTCCAAAGGTAAGAATACAAAAAACCTTTTAGTTCGGTCTCTTGAATATTAGAGAAAAAGATGAAATAAGATGTAAAGGAATTGAGACACCAGAGATTGAGGGTTGATTTCATTTTGCTGGTTTTTTTCTGGAGTTCAAAACAACCAGTAGTTTTGGTGTTAACTAACAGGGAAGAAAGTTAAGTTGTTTGTTTAGAAGTGAGGGATGACTTAAGTAATACCTTAAGCACCTTATATTTGTGCTATATTGTACAATTTTCAAAGTGCTTTAACATATATTACCCTATTTGACCTACAAAGAAACCTTTTGAGACAGACAGAGGGTATAATATCTCTATTCTGAACATATATCGTCTCTGAACAGTTAGGTAGCTTTCCCAGGGTTACGTGATCAGGTTCAGGTGTCTCGACTTCTGGTCTGTGTTTTTTATATAAATTCTTTCTTTTCTTTTTTACCTTCATATGTGTCCTTTTATTTTAGAAGAGTTGATCTGCTTTGCCCTCTTTTTTCTTCACTTCCTAATTCTTGTGGTTTTGTGCTGCCTTGTGATAGGGCACTTGTAATTTCCCAAGAGAAACATAGTTTTAAAAAATCTTGTCATGTATATGGACAATTACAGCCTAATAATTTTGTATTTCTGTCTTCTTCCAGCATTTTTGTTTATTTAGAAGTTTATTATATCCCTAGTGACGCCTATAATCTCAGCACTTTTGGAGGCTGAGGTGAGAGGATTGCCTGAGTTTTAGACCAGCCTGGGCAACTTGGTGAGACCTCATCTCTACAATCAAAAAATTTGCCGGGCATGGTGGCACCCTCCTATAGTCCCAGCTACTTGGAAGGTTGAGATAGAAGGATCGCCTAAGCCCAGCAGGTGGAGGCTGCGGTGGCTGTGAGCATACCACTGCACTCCAGCCTGGGTGACAGAGTGAGACTCCAACTCAAAAATTGCAACTTTGAAGCATTTCCTCTCCTCACTTCCCCCCAGTAAATTAGTATGTTTAAAGACAATTATTCTTTTTTTTCCTTAAGTAATCTGGTGGAACCAGGCTGCACTTTGTTCTAAGTAGTCTAACATTGCTTAAGTACCTTTGGTGGCCTACTTGTGTGTGTGTGTGTGTGTCTAGAAGTGTAAGATCATAATGCTCAGACTCATCTTGTTGCCCTGTTATTGAGGGCAAAATGGCCTTTTCCTTTAAGAGAGCTGTCACCTTCCATGCTAAGGTCCAGACTAGGGAATTATTTTTATTCTCCTAGTTAAAAATACTGTGATGGTTACCACTTATACTCTAGTATATCAGTAATGACTAATTGACAGTGAAAGTCTAAAATGATTTTCTGATTTATAAGTTTACAGAAACTATCCCTATGTTGGCCTCTGGCATAAGTTTTTTTCTTGGATCTGAGCTCTGTACTCTGAGTGCCATTGCAAATGTATACTGACTGGGTCCCTTTTCTCCAATCCTTCCTCCCTCCCCATCCTTTCTGTCCCCATCTTTCATCTTTCTTTTTTTTTTTTTAACCAGGGGTCTAACTCTGTTTTTCCAGGCTAGAGTGCAATAGGACAATCACAGTTCACTGCAGCCTCAAACTCTTGGGCTCAAGTGATCCTCCCACCTTAGTCTCCTGAGTAGCTGGGACTACAGGTATGCACCACCACACCAGGCTAATTTTATTTTATTTTATTTTTCTGTAGAAATGAGGCCTTGCTATGTTGCCCAGGTTGGTTTTGAAATCCTGGGCTCAAGCAATCCTCTTGCCTTGGCCTCCCAAAGTGCTGGGATTATAGGTGTGAGCCATTATACCCAGCTCCATCCTTCATCCTTCTTTTGTTCTATGTAGGCATTTGCATTCCTGTTGATTTTAGTTGGGTTTTCTGCAGGTTAGTGGTCTTCCTTGGCATTATATTACCATTTTGAATTGGTATATATAGTAGTATTTAAAAAGTACCCAAGTTGGCTCCCTTTTTCACATGTCAAAAAAAGAACCCCTTAGTAAAAAGGCTTTGGACTTCTTAGAGTTTAGGTTTTTGTCAGGTGAGGAATTTTAAGCTCTCAAAACTTTGGAAATAAACACTCAGAGGCTGGGCACAGTGGCTCACGCCTATAATCTCAGCACTTTTGGAGGCTGAGGTGAGAGGATTGCCTGAGTTTTAGACCAGCCTGGGCAACTTGGTGAGACCTCATCTCTACAATCAAAAAATTTGCCGGGCATGGTGGCACCCTCCTATAGTCCCAGCTACTTGGAAGGTTGAGATAGAAGGATCGCCTAAGCCCAGCAGGTGGAGGCTGCGGTGGCTGTGAGCATACCACTGCACTCCAGCCTGGGTGACAGAGTGAGACTCCAACTCAAAAATAAAAAATAAAAAAAGCACTCAGAGGATCCAGGTCTCCTCAGTATGACAGCAAGGTCTACTTTGCTTCTGGTGCCTTAAATATCTCTAGTACTAGTATTTCAGAAAAAAGACCTTTATTCTTAATTTTTTTTTAAATCAAAGAAGAAACCCCAAATTAAATTTAGAGAAAAAAAGTCAGAAATTGTAAGAATAAAGGAACAGACCAACTCCTGACAAAGAATTCTGCATCTTGGTAATTATATTTATTAGAAGGATTGGAGAAAAATAAAAATACCATTTAGCTTAAGAGTTATTTGCAAAGCAATTCATTTCAGGAGTGGAAGATTTCTTGGGATCATTTCTTAATATCAAAATGTATGCAGGTTTCTCTTTTGAATGTCTTGTACATTTAAAGAGGCAACCGTATGAAGTCTCCTATTTTCCGCATGACACATTCTTTGTGTCAGCCAACTCTAAATGGAAGGGCAACAAGGACAACTCCATCTCCCCGGACAAAGAGCACTGGAATATTCTGCTTCATTGATTTACATATCTCTTCATATGTTTCTTCATCAATTTCTATAGTAGTCACAGTTTCTTCCACATCTCCCAATATCATATTTAAATGTTGATCATAAGCATGTAATCTGCCTCGAAGCTCTCGGTCATTCCTTTTTTTCACATAGATTCGTTCATCCAGGCTGAGCCTGATAAGATCCAAGGGCTTCTCTACAGTGTTAGTAGTTTGTTGCTGTTCCACGTCATCCGCCTGGGTGACAGAGTGAGACTCCAACTCAAAAAAGAAAAAAAAATTAATGATATACTCATTACCACCTTGTAAATATTCTGTCTTCCAAATGAATAAGTACCAATATGGACTAAATAATATAGTTCAAAATAGATTAAATAACTTTTTAATCTAAATACAGATTAAATAACTTTTTGAAGACTATATAGAAAGTGCCAGAGCCAGGGTTCAGGCTCTACACTGTAACTCTTAAGCCGTTACACCTCGGCTTCCCAGAAGTATATATACTTTCCCTAAGAGCCTCTGAAAGCTTAGATTCAGACAAAAGATGCAAGAAAGAGATGTGCTGGCTTAAGCAACCACTTTGTTCATTCAGGCACAAATATCCTTGAATTGGCATTGACTCTTTGAGTACAAAAAAGGGAATGATATTAGATTAGAGAAAGTGAGATACTAGATACTTAGGTCATAAAAGAGAAGGTATGTTCTGATTATAGTATATTCAACTCAGGAATGATATTAGATTAGAGAAAGTGAGATACTAGATACTTAGGTCATAAAAGAGAAGGTATGTTCTGATTATAGTATATTCAACTCAGGCAAAATTAATCTAGTTGGAGAAAGGAGACATGCTTATCTAGTAAAAGTGCTAAGAAGTGCTGCTTAGATGGTTTCAGCCCAGTAGTTGTCACTGTTGATGAGGAAGTTATTTGGACACTAGGTTTTTATCATATTGCATTATTTCCTCTCTTGCTTGCTAAACACATCTCTCTGCTATTTGTTAAACATGCCTATATTTTATTGATATCTAAAACCTTCCATTTACCTACTGGCTCCTCCAATAATGGGCAATTAAGAAAATACCTGCCTCACTCTGCACTCCTGTCTCCTGTAGCTAAAGTCTACAACTACTTAAGGTTCAAAAACAAGAATATATGTGCCTTTTTACTAAGAGAAAAGCTGAGAGACAGGGACTGGTTCTGAAATTTATGCCACAGTTTCTCCTATACGTTATTTCTTTCTTGAGGATTGGTCTTTTTTTTTTTTTTTTTTGAAATCTTTATTTCACATAAATCGGGCATATACTTACCTACTCAGGTAATTTATTTCCTGCCAGGAAATATTTTGAATTTAGATTTGATAAGCAGTGCCATAAAACTTCTAGTCCTTTTTCACTTTCCTTATAGTGATCAACAAGGAGTCTGTTGTCCTAGACTCTTTGCTGATTCTGCTTTTGAATTCCTTAGAAACATGTCCAGTAGTTAAATTCATTTTTTTCATCTCTCTAAAGAAGCATTTTTATTACTGTAGTGGCCTCAGGCAGGTTATTATTTGTATGTACAAGGTAGCTAGGTTTTTACTCTTCATTTCTTCTAATTCATATTCTCTTGTTGATTACATAATCATCAAACTATCACCTTTTGAACCACAGTGTGGTGAGAGATAACTGATGTCTTAAATACAGTAACTTTTCTTTTTAGGTTTATTTCTTCCTTCCAAAAACCTTTTGGATTCGAAAGAACCAGAAAATAGTCATCTTTAGTAGGTGTGCAGTGGACAATATGGAGCATTAGGCTTGTTAAGTATGAGGTGGATTGTGGAACTTCCTGTGAGTATCAGAACAGTTCTCCAACAGTATTTAATGGCAGTAATTTAGAAAGAACTCTGACTGAAAAGTAAAATCTTGACCAAGAACTGAGAATTTCATTAAAAAAAAAATCACAGTATTCTAGTTAATATTTGACTATGTGGGTCCAGTACTGTTGTCCCAGAAGTCAGAACTATTAGCAACAACAGGTAGGTTTACATGTCAGCTGCTCTTACATAACTTTCTTGCTTTAAGCTTCAGGTTTCAACAGGAGCCCCCTTCCCAAAAAAGATCTAAGGGTTGTTTTCTTTTTCCTGTGAGCCTCTTCTATCCACTAGG